CTCATGCCTGGAGTCGTTGAGCAGTTGGCCATGGTGAATGTAAACAGAAGTGAACTTGGCAGTGTCGATAATATTCCCCAGTGAGGGTCGTCGAGGTTGAAACGACGGAGAAAGTGCAGTCGCGGTCGAGAAGAACGAAAAGAGAGCAGAATAAGGACGGACCGCGAGAGAAAATGGAAGGAAAATGGTAAAATCTGGCGGGAAAAAAGAAACTGAAGACGAAGGGAGAGAATGATGTCTGAACTAACGTGTAACACGGAAGAGAGAGAGAGAGAGAGAGAGAGAGAGAGAGAGAGAGAGAGAGAGAGAGAGAGAGAGAGAGAGAGAGAGAGAGAGAGAGAGAGAGAGAGAGAGAGAGAGAGAGAGGATGTGGGAGAAAAAAAGAAAACCTCCGAGACAGCTATCATGAACACTTAGAGTTCTGGCAGATTTATGAGCACGAGACTGCTCTCTCCATCTCTACGAGTCAGCCTGCCCGTTCGTCGGATAAATCCTGTCGGTCACTCATCCTCGCAGCTCTCTTTATCCATTTTTCTAGACAGCAGCGAATCCTCTTGCGTGACCGTGCTCGCCGTTTTCATTGGGAACGAATGGCGAATGCGGCAAGGAACCGCGAAGAAACGAGTTTGATCATTTAAAAGGAACTCTATCAGCGTTCAACCATATTACTTATTAATAATATTTCTTATAAGGGCCATTTGCCTCGCTGTTGATAAGCTTATTGAAGTTTGATTTATAATTAAGAGCGTTGTGACTGTTTCGCGGCCAACGATCGTTCGACATGCGATAATTTCATGACCACCAATTTAGTCAATTAAATTAACCGTCGCTTCGATAGTCATCGGCCACCATTTAAAGTAGTCTGCTTTGCGTGAATAATCATATTTGCAGCGAGTAGAATAGTTGAATCTACCAGATACGATCGATGGCGATTAAACATAGATAAAATTGATAAAAACTTCCAATCCGTAGAATATTTTTTGCCAATGGGACTGAATTTGTTATGTTTCGATGTTATCTCTGAGGTTGATATACATTTGGTCAGCGTGACAACGTATGAGGAGTATTGGTTTGGTAAGATGGTTTTGTAGAATTATCGCGAAGTTATCGAAGTGCTTTGAATAGAATGTTCCATTCAAGATTTAACGATCCTCGCGTATGATCTTCGAATTTTTTAGCCTCGACCTCGCTCTTTCCTTTTAACGAGCAAAAAGATTTTTATTGTTTTAAGAAAAACTGTGGCATATACCGAGACGAAGAGATCATGCGTACCGAGAACTATTCTTTCGTACTTTCCATAAACCCTAAACCGAAGAAATTTGTTAATAGAGGAAACAGTATTATTAGGTCTAAAGAATAATCATCGTGGTGATCGCATAGCCACCCATAAGCGTTCACGTCATTTTTTCACGGCTTTTCGTTTCGCTACACGGGATGATGATTTAATGAGGCATAGACTGCGAGAAAGTGACTTGAGGAGGCAGCTGAGAGATAAGGTACAGCGAAACAAGTGCGATAAGCCGAAACGAGATAGCGTCGTCGCAGCCAGCCGACGATATCTCAAAGTCAATGTCCTATGAAGGACTGCTGCTACGTTCCGATCCGACAAACCACCGTATATATACTACATACTCTTCTCTGATTACAGGCATTACGGCCACGTGTGTCGCTGCCCGTCGCTGCCCGTCGCTGCCCGTCGCTGCCCGTCGCTGCATTCTCCTTTCTCCTTCCTCCTTCCTCCCGTTCCGACGCATGTTTCTCCGTCTCTGCCTCGTGGAGATATCGATGCCGAAAGCACGATTTCTTATTCGCGCCGATCTGTCTCTATTTTGTATACTTGCCGAATCTCTTGCCTCAACGCGCTTGTTTAGGACCATGGAATCTGCCTTTTTGTTATTTTGGCCTGTTAAAGGGGATTGATTTGCGGATTCTTGGTTGATTCATGTTTCTTAGACAAATATGCAGATGTCGTCATAAAATACTTTCATTCCGCAAACGTGGCTTTCGACAAATTTTACGCGGTGCTTACATTAATACGAAACTCGCTATGATAAAAAACAAAACGTCGTATCTAGAATCACGATAAGAACAACGAAACCTGACGCTGACCTTAAAATTCAGGCGGCGCGGCGAATGGAACTTGGAAAGAGGATCATCGTGATTATTTTATTCTTTGTATTTTCATTGATTCGTTAGATAATATGTCAAGCCAGTCGTATAAGATCAAGAGATTTCAGAATAAAATTATATGAAAATTCACGTTTCGCAACAAGAATATGTAATATTTATCAACTATTTCCACAGACACTGTTGTCTTCACAAAATAATCACTTTTACGTAAAGGATTAATTATCTTTATCTCAGATATTTGATCTATAGATATACGTATAAAAGATATACATATTCGTTCTAATTACAAACTTTCAAGTACTCGAGCGATGCACGATAAGTCTCCGATATTTCGTTTCTTTCTACTTGCAGACTTTCACACATGATATAATTGACACAAATAGCGTTGAAAATATAAACTTCAAACGTCATTCGTCGCTTCTTGCTTTTTCATATAATAACTAATAACGTAGTTACTAGAAAATAAAATATGTATATGGGTGGTGGATTGTACAAAAGTGCGTAGTATTATTCGACAGTGATATAGTCCGTACACTTTTTCATTTAATTTATGTATTATGTAACAGGCTTTAGATATGGAAGACGACATGCTAATATTGCTATATACTTTGTAGCTACTACTAGACAAATGAATAGCTATATAATATATGTAATTTTATCGGTATTTTTTTAAAAACTATCTCTACACGGGACTGACATTTCAATAAAAGTCACACGTAATCGACTGTATTTCAACTCTTTACCTGAAAAAGACAAATTGTTGCTCACGCCATTTATCAGAAAGAATTGGTTAAAAGACAATTGGTTCTCTCAAGAATTATTTACAAAATTTGAACATCCAACAGCATACATCAATAGTAATTTGTAGTTATTGAGATTATAAACGAACTGACTACCATTTTTCGTAATTGTCAGTTAAACTTAAGCGTGAAAACAAAAATAATTAAATTTTAAAGAAAAGTAACATTTATTAATCGTAAACGAACTAGCTATGAATGCTAAATGCTGAAAAATACTAAATAAAATATAAAATCAACTATGATTCCTGACAACTGTCGGCTAAACATGAGAACAAAGATCATTGCGTGTTTGAAACTAACGAATATTTATTCCTTGTATAAACAAACTAGTGATCAACCTCACGTTCTTTATTGTAAACTTTTTTGTTGCAAAAATGTTCAAGCGAATTATTATTCAATTCTGAAAGGGAGAGTCCAATGCCAACGTTATATTTACGTTACATCAAATAAAATTTAATAAAAGTAACAGAATTGGGATAGAATACGAACCAGGGGACTAAATATCAGACTTGCTGCGACAGATGATTGTCAACGAATCCACAATTTTAGCTAACCAAAAATGGCCACCTGTAATAGTAATAAAAAAGAGAGGGATATAAAGATAGGGTACATGGGTCATATGTTACCGTGTAAGTGAAAGCGACATAGGGGACCCTTCTGTCCTTGTCTAATCAGCCATGCATACTGACGCCGCTCGTTGATCGGCGTTACAATTCCATATTTACTGTACGGATGTGCATGCGTTATTAGACAAGGATAGAAGGGGCCTCTATTCGCTAACGTTCGCTTTCGATTCTTATATCGCTTTTTCAGCTCGCTCACGCACTCTATCGTTAGATCTCTGTAATTGCAAAACGTAAGAGGTGCATTAACTTCGCTTGATTATTTTTTACTTAATTCGCGTGATTTCTTTTTTAATACCATAGATATCGTTGTTTTTTTTTTCTTTTTTTGGAAATAATTTCACGGGCAGGGGATTGAAATGTAAAAGTGGAGACAAAGATTGTAAATGTTCTTCGTCGATAGAATGAAGTCGATTAAAGTAAAAATAAATGTGAATGATAAATAGGACTATTGTATAATATATTTTTTTAGTTTTTTTTAATCTGAATTTAATAGATTTTAATATGTAGAATCCAAAAATACAATTGTTCAGTTTAGGAATCTAGCGGTTCAAGGATTATGCGTGTGTAAAACTGAGCATTTTTATCGTATTTTACAGGTTAGTATGACGCCATATTGCTTCTATTCGTAATTCGACTGATCCGCACAGATGAGCATTGAACTACTATCTTCGCTGAATATTCATTTATATAAGCGTAACCGGCAACCTTTAGCCAAAACTAATTCAGTACTCATGATTCAAAATCCCGTCGTAAAATGGCCGACATCCACGTGCATTCGTTAGAGCCAGTGACTCTACTCATTGAACGAATCGTGAATAAAAACCAACAGGGTGTCAAAGTTGAAGCTGTCAACGCTGAAATCGCTTAACTTTACATAGTTGTCATTTTTGAACTACGGGATTCCTAAAGTTTTAAAACTTACATTTTTCGATTCTACGCATAGAAAACCATTAAATAGAAATTAGGAAAGGTCACAATTTTGTGTCCGTTAAACCGAAGTTCAGCCTATACGTAAAAAGGGAAAATTAGCGAATTCTTTTAAATTTACGTACTGAACATGAGAATGGTAGATTAAATTTTGTAGTTGTAACATGCCAGGACACTGAGAATTTCATGTAAAAATGGTAATTTTTGAATATAGATAAATTAAATTGATAATTCTTCATAATTTGTCCATGAAGTTACAGTTATTATCTATCTCTGATATGTAAATATAATACGATTTAATGTTTTTAAAGTGTTAAAAAGTGAGTGATTGGAAGAGGAGAAAGAAATGCCCACTTCTGTGGAATCTCCATATATGTATATAAAATATATGTATCTCCATATATGTATCTCCATATATGTATATAAAACAATAATAACCAATAAATTTTATGATTATTTTATCAACGTTTACACTTTTTTAAAACATTCTTTTTCTAATTGACTAGACAGAGGAAGAGAGAGAGAGAGAGAGAGAGAGAGGGGGGGGAGAGTACCATATTTTCATAGATTTCGAAGAACTTTTACAATTAATAAAATTTGTTCTTGTAACTTGTGATAAATTGTTTGTCTTGTTAGTAACAGTTATATCATTATAAAGCGAAGAGTTTATTTTTCATTACGCTGTATCTAATGAAATGTAATCTTTGAAAACAAGTTTTAGCTAAATACGTATATCTCGATGGACTAATTACACAATCGTCAGTCGATGGCAATGTTCTTAGTAATTCGCAGCATTATAAAACAAACACAGCCGTTAAATATCAAGAATATACTTACAGAGATAAAACCGTTTTGGCGTAAAAATATGTCTCTATACGGATTAGGTAATGTCAACTCTTTTTCTTCGAATACTCAAAGTTCTATATGCGATAACGATGAAAACGCCAGTGTAAATTTACATGTTTGCGAGTTTTATAAAATTTATGAATCAAGTTCAGTCACCTTCGCAATTTTTTTCAACTCACGACCAGACTCACAAGTGCTTGAAATAAGTTTTACGAAAATGTTGTTTTATAAGATTTGTACGATACATATGGTATTTAATAGGTAATTCTAAGAAATTACATTCATCTTTTCAGTTTAATAAATCTAGGTAATCGTAAAACTTGGTGTAACTAAATTTCTTATTGAGAAGGTTTTTCCTTAAGTTTATAATTATATATCGTAACATTTTATAGTATGTTCTCTAGAAATCTATTATATATTATTAGCGTAACTACTAAATAATAATTACAATACGTTTTAACGATAAAATTAGTTAACAAATGTAATTAGCAATAATTTTTACAAATTACTATAGTGATTTTCTTAGGAATAAAACAGATTAATTTACGTACACATGATTGCTATCACACGTAACAATCAGATATTGGATACGTATTAATTAGAAATCAATCCAGCGATCAATAAGAAAGAAAGAAATTCTTATCATCAAACTACACCTACCTACAACTTCCGTCTACGATATTGCTCGATAGGAAAAACAGCCACTTGAAGTACATTGCGTCATGCGATCTGTGAATCTCTCTCGACGGAAGAACTTCGAAAAAGGTTTTCGAGAATTTAGGCTAGGACGATCGAAAGTTTGAACAGATAATTTATCATTCTGCAGTTTCTCTGCTCGATGAGCATGCATGGTGTCGATGATATTTGGTCGATCGAATAAACAGCGAGGCCGTTGACTCTTCATCGGCCATACTTCTCTCCGATCTAATCTTCAATCTCCGATCGAAACAGCACAATCTATCCAGCCATCATAGGAAACTTACGGGCCGGCTACAATCTACAATGTCACGAGCAAAGGTCTATCGAGCGAGTTCCAACCGTCGATAACGGCAACTAACAACAGGCTAATCTATCAAGGACGCTCGACAGTGAAAATTTGGCCTTGAAAAGGCAATACCGTTCACTGGAACCCTGACGGGTTTATTATATCCATAATGGAGTATCGTTGGCGGAATACGTGTACTACTTACGTCCATTCTTGTAGTACTAGACGCTAAGACTGTAAGACGCTGTTCGTGAATATTTAAAAATATTAGAAATGGAACCATTAAATTTCAATTACTGTCTTTTTAAAAGGTAATGTTTGTTAGGAATCACAGAAGAACTAGCTATTGCGAAGCAATAAAGCATCGATCAAGAGGTTTAAAAGTATGGAAATTATTTTTCGAGAGTTTCCATTCTTTTGTTTCAATTGGCATTTAGTAGAGCCGCTTTGATGGATTTTTAATGGAATTTGATAAACCTAACAAAGATACGAACAAAGGTATGTATTTATGGATTTAGTTTGAACTATAAGAAGATCGAAGTTTCTATAATATCGTATTAAGTGACATTATCGATGGTCAAAATTATTGGACTGTAATCGAGTAAAAGTTGATTACGTTGATTTCTAAGCTAAAATTATAAGATAAGATTTAGGGGAATCATTAGATTATTTGGGATGATTACTAGTTGACGTATTATATCGATCAGTTTTAGTAGTTTGACGCACTAAGCTAATTCTTCTTCTAGAAAATGTATCATGTTTCAATAAACAAAATTTTAGACATTCGAATAAAATGATTCAAAATATCTCCGCATTATAAAGAAATACGCGAAAACATCGATGAACAACTTTATCTTTTCCAGAGAAAGATGTTCAAATTTATCATCACGATTTTTTATATCATTTAAGCTACGAAGCCAGACTACACGATGAAGGCTGCCATGAAAGCGCACGTTTTACAAATCAAACTGGCGGAGCATTGACAAGCGTGACACCTATTTTACGAGCGCGGAGACAAGTGCGAGATGCCACCCCTTCATTTTCACGCACACCGAATCTGACCCTGGATCGTATCCCATTACCGCCGGAATCGGTCATCACTGACCCTCCTCCTTCTTCGATCGTACTCTTTCTCTTTTCTTCACCTTGTCGCTCTATCTCTCTCTTGCAGGCCGTTCGGCCGCAATACGCGTCGATCTCCTCGAAGCGGTTTGAGAGTGGAGGGGGGAGAGAGTTCGGGTTAGAAACGGAATCAGGAAGAGAGAGCGTTGCACCGCTCGAGAGGGTACACTGTACTAGTGAACCCGGTATGTGGTTGTCGCGAGTGGAGGTGCGCGTCCCCACCCCTAATTAGGGAGTACAGGGGAAGCAGAAGAGAAGCAGAAGAGAAGCAGAAGAGAAGTAGACGAGAAGCAGAAGGGAAGCAGAGAGAAAGAGAATACGAAGACAGGGGTGCTTCGGCGTCGAGAATGAGATGGGGATAACGAGGCGAAGGAAGGAGAACGAGGAAGGACGAAAGCAACACAAGAGTAACGGAGCTTCTACCCCTTCGCCCCACTCCCGCGTCTCCCCACCAATATACTCATTCACCACAGGCGGGGTATAAAACGGTGTTCCCCACCATCGCATCGATTCTCCCTCCTTCTGCTTGTGCGCTGTCGCCCCTCTAACCCTTTTAAAATTCATCCCTCCGTGCCGTGAAAACGCGTCGGCGAAACGTCGTCGTTACGCTTCCAACTGACGTCGTTTTCTACATACGTCGACGTGCTGACTTGAATGTACGACGTACGAGAACTGTGCAACGGTGGGGCAATCGGTAAGTGGAGGGGATCGAGTAGACAGGGTGGGGCAACGGTTGAATGGTGGGGGAACGCGAATGTACGCCGAGTGGGGTGAAGAAGCACGGGTGGTGGGAAGTAAACGCAAGCAGAGGAGAGCTCGACGACGGCAAGGAGAGGTCATTGACCCTAGCGGCAG